GTACAGGCTCTCTCCCCTTCTGTCTAGCATAGGTGTACCGTCTCCTCCCCTCCAGTCCTGCACAGGTGTGCCGGCTCCTCCCCTTCAGTCTTGCACAGGTGTAGGGCTCCTCCCCATCAGTCCTGCGCAGGTGTACCGGCTCCTCCCCTTCAGCCTTGCACAGGTTGTACCGGCTCCACCCCATCAGTCCTGCACAGGTGTACGGCTCCTCCCCTCCAGTCTTGCACAGGTGTACCGGCTCCTCCCCTTCAGTCCTGCACAGGTGTACCAGCTCCTCCCCTTCAGTCTTGCACAGGTGTACCGGCTCCTCCCCTCCAGTCTTGCACAGGTGTACCGGCTCCTCCCCTTCATTCTTGCACAGGTGTACCGGCTCCTCCCCTCCAGTCTTGCACAGGTGTACCGGCTCCTCCCCTTCAGTCCTACACAGGTGTACCAGCTCCTCCCCTCCAGTCTTGCACAGGTGTACCGGCTCCTCCCTTGGACTGTAATGTCTTCCTCTGATGTCACTGCACACTGGGAGCTCCTCACAATGTGCATTAGAAGATGCAGCCAATCAGATAGAGCTCCGCCTCATTTACTGGCTAGATGACGTCCAGGCAAGGTGTGACGGCACCACGAGGAGATGGGGGGGGGGGGGGAATTTGTGTTGGGAGGAGGGTTTTTTTTTTGGGGAGGTGGTATTATGAGTGGGGGGATATGTGGGAGGGGATAAGATTTTTTATGGCAGGTTGGGGGTTTGCAAAATTTGTGCTTGGGGGGGGGTATTTCAGTAGGGGGGTATGGATTTTTACTGGGAGGGGGGGAATTTACGCTTAGGGGGTAAGCATGTAGATTAGATTTAGATTGCTTTGGGGGAGGGGGATTTTGGCTGGCACATAATGCTCATACACCATGTTCCCCCTGGGCTCTAGATGGCTTTGTTCCGGCACTGCATAGAGAAGCCCAGAGACCCAGTGATGATGTCACTAGGTCTAAAATAATGTATGTAATGAAACTGGAAAGGGTTTATTAAAAAAGATCCATTCGTGTGTTGATGGGGGGGGATTTTGGGGAACAGGAAACCAGAAGTGTCATATATTCGCAGCTTACCAATCATTAGATGTGGTGACTGCATTTGTTTTCTTTTTCTAGGCTCTTCCCCCTCTGTTTTCACCTGGTGATCCGGCCAATAACAACCTCCTGTATTAGAGCGCCCCCTCTCTGGATGAAGGAGCACAGGGGGCACCTTTGTACAGTAGCATTTTATGTCTGGGGGGAGGGGGAGTGTTAGATGGATTAGCAGATTTAGATACACTAACAAATTGAAGACAAACTCCAGCTCACCTTTTTAATCAGTCACAGTCACAGTTTTTTGGGGGGAAAAAGGTTTTACATCAATAGATAAAAGCTGATCATCGTAAGCCCCCCTGTCAGTGGTAAATGTTTAGTCTCATCACTGTAAACTGATATATCTATGCAAGAGTTTGTTTTTTTGAAAAATAACAGACTTTACTGGGCAGATCCCTGGTGAAGATAAGGGAAAGAAAGCCTTAAAAAAAGAAAACTAATGCAGCCGTCATGTCTAAGCTGCAATACATTCAAACAACACCAACATGCTGAAGTTTCTATGAGATTCTAGAGATTGGAGCTCACATCTCCGGAACTCCAGACATTTCTACACTCTGAGATGGCGGTCGATGTTCATTCTTAACTTGTGTGCCATCAGCAGAGAGGAAATGAAGAAACCACATCGGGGGGGGGGGGGGGGCAACGATCAGAGACAGTCACATCAGACCATTGGATGAGATCTTCTCTAATACCCCCCCCCCCCTTCATGTAGGACCATCCAAGTAAAGAAGCAGCATTTAAAGAAGGACCTGTCCCCAGACCATTCATTTCAACAACACTCTTCCCATGAGATTTATTCCTGTTATTTCCCTGTAAATTCTTCCCAAAAGGGATTGGGTGTCCACCATGTGATGGCAGCAACCCCAACGGACTCAGAGCTGTCATCCAGGTGACCCTTTATATCACAAGGCCCGCGAGCCGAATCCAGCCCACCAAGTTATTTCATGTGGCCCATACATCTCTCCTGCAGCTGCGGCGCCCCCTTGTCCCAGCAGCAGAGAGGAGGACAGAACTCCTGCACCAGATCCTGCACCTCTCTGTGCAGCCGCAGCACCCCCTCGTCTCCACCCCCACCTTTTTTCCAGCAGTCAGCAGCAGAGAGGAGGACAGAACTCCTTCACCAGATCCTGAGTCTCTCTGTGCAGCCACAGCACCCCTCATCTTCACCCCCCACCTTGTCACAGCAGTCGGCACAGAGAGGCTCGTCTCCTTCAATCCTCTCAGCAGTTGGCAACAGAGAGGAGAACAGAACTCCTCCACCAGATTCTGCACCTGTCTGTGCAGCTGCAGCACCCCTCTTGCCTTCACCCCCACCTTGTCACAGCAGTAGAGGAAAGAGAGGAGAACAGAACCCCTCCACCAGATCCTGAGTCTCTCTGTGCAGCCACAGCACCCCCTCGTCTCCACCCCACTTTTCCCAGCAGTCAGCAGAGAGAGGAGGACAGAACTCCTCTCCACCAGATCCTGAGTCTCTCTGTGCAGCCACAGCACCCCTCATCTTCACCCCATCTTGTCTCAGCAGTCGGTACAGAAAGGCTCCTCTTTCAATCCTCTCAGCAGTCGGCAGCAGAGAGAGAACAGAACTCCTCCACCAGATCCTGCACCTCTCTGTGCAGCCGCAGCACTCCCTTGTCTCCATCCTCCACCTTGTCTCAGCAGTAGAGGAGGGGACAGAACCCCTCCACCAGATCCTTTGCTTCTCCATGCAGGCACAGAGAGGCTCATCTCTTCACCACCTCTCAGCAGTCAGCAGTAGAGAGGAGAACAGAACTCCTCCACACAGATCCTGCACCTCTCTCTGTGCAGCCACAGCACAACCCTTGTCTCCATCCACCCCACCTTGTCTCAGCAGTAGAGGAGGGGTCAACTCCTCCACCAGATCTCTTTGCTTCCCCATGCAGTCACAGAGAGGCTCATCTCTTCACCACCCCCACTCTTGAGAGGAGAACAGGACTCCTCCTACACATTCTGTGTCTCTTTGTGCACAGAGAAACCCTTCTTCTCCACCCCCATCTTGTCACAGCACTCTCTCATCTCCACCCCCATCTTGTCTCAGCAGTTGGCAGAAGAGAGGAGGACAGAACTCTCCTTCACCAGATCTTGCGCTTCTCCATGCAGCCACAGAGAGGCTCCCCCCCCCCTCAGAAGTCAGCAGCAGAGAGGATGACAGAACTCCTCCTACAGATCCTGCACCTCTCTGTGCAGCCGCAGCTCCCCTCATCTCTAATTCCCCTGGTCTCAGCATTTAGCAGACTCCATCCCTCCTCTGGTCCTCCTCCAGACCCTCCACTTTCTGTGTCCCAACTCCACCCCCAGCTTCTTCCCTGCAGCAGCACAAGATAACGGGGGGTGCACTATGATGTAAGGGAGGGTGGGGGTTCTTGACTTCTGATGATGGGAGAGCTCTTGACATCTGATGTAAGGGGGAGGAGTTATTCTGGACATCTAGTCTTACAGTACAGCCTTTGAGGGCAATCATAATGCTGATGCAGCCTGTGATGACACTGAGTTTGACACCCCCTGCTCTATAGTATCTCCTTCACTCCTACACCAGCAGCTCCATAAACGTTTATGTAGGGAGGTGAGACGAGGGACAGGAGAGCTGGGCCAGCACAGATGGTAATTAGACACTTCCAAAAGTAGAGAGGGCTATGATGTGCAAGGAAGGGGGTGTACTTGGGAACTGACTCCTCCCTTATCTAGTAAAACATTGGTTGGACTGGGCAATCTGGACACTTCACATATCTTAGACAGGTTTTGTTTATGTAATAGAACATTGGGGATTGGAGAACTCTGAACTTTTCATGGACGTCACATACAGTCAGGTCCATAAATATTGGGACATGGACACAATTCTAACATTTTTGGCTCTATACACCACAATGGATTTGAAATGAAACGAACAAGATGTGCTTTAACTGCAGACTGTCAGCTTTAATTTGAGGGTATTTACATCCAAATCAGGTGAACGGTGTAGGAATGACAACAGTTTGCATATGTGCCTCCCACTTGTTAAGGGGACCAAAAGTAATGGGACAATTGGCTTCTCAGCTGTTCCATGGCCAGGTGTGTGTTATTCCCTCATTATCCCAATTACAATGAGCGGATAAAAGGTCCAGAGTTCATTTCAAGTGTGCTATTTGCATTTGGAATCTGTTGCTGTCAATTCTCAAGATGAGATCCAAAGAGCTGTCACTATCAGTGAAGCCATCATTAGGCTGAAAAAACAAAACAAACCCATCAGAGAGATAGCAAAAACATTAGGCGTGGCCAAACAACTGTTTGGAACATTCTTAAAAAGAAGGAACGCACCGGTGAGCTCAGCAACACCAAAAGACCCGGAAGACCACGGAAAACAACTGTGGTGGATGAGCGAAGAATTCTTTCCCTGGTGAAGAAAACACCCTTCACAACAGTTGGCCAGATCAAGAACACCCTCCAGGAGGTAGGTGTATGTGTGTCAAAGTCACCAATCAAGAGAAGACTTCACCAGAGTGAATACAGAGGGTTCACCACAAGATGGAAACCATTGGTGAGCCTCAAAAACAGGAAGGCCAGATTAGAGTTTGCCAAACGACATCTAAAAAAGCCTTCACAGTTCTGGAACAACATCCTATGGACAGATGAGACCGACATCAACTTGTACCAGAGTGATGGGAAGAGAAGAGTATGGAGAAGGAACTGCTCATGGTCCTCAGCATACCACCTCATCAGTGAAGCATGGTGGTGGTGGTAGTGTCATGGCGTGGGCATGTATGGCTGCCAATGGAACTGCTTCTCTTGTATTTATTGATGATGTGATGCTGACAGAAGCAGCCGGATGAATTGTGAAGTGTTTCGGGAATATTATCGGCTCATATTCAGCCAAATGCTTCACAACTCATTGGACGCTTCACAGTGCAGATGGACAATGACCCAAAGCAGACTGCAAAAGACACCAAAGAAGTGGAATGTTCTGCAATGGCCAATCACCTGACCTGAATCCGATTGAGCATTTCACTTGCTGAAGACAAAACTGAAGGGAAAATGCCCCAAGAACAAGCAGGAACTGAAGACAGTTGCAGTAGAGGCCTGGCAGAGCATCACCAGGGATGACACCCAGCGTCTGCTGGGATGTCTATGCGTTCCACACTTCAGGCTGTAATTGACTGCAAAGGATTTGCAACCAAGTATTAAAAAGTGAAAGTTTGATTTATGATTATTATTTCATTCCCATTACTTTTGGTCCCTGTTAACCCTTTGAGGACCGTTAAGATTTTTGTAACACCAAAGAATCAATTTTTTGTTTTTAAAGTTCGTACACTTCAGTTGCTGTAAGTAAGCTATTTCATGAAATAATTGGCAAAAAGCTAGATCCATTTGTTGTCATGTTGATAAGAACTAATATTTTGACAAATCAAAAAAAGAAAAGAGTTTTAAGTTCTTAATCAGATGATACCGCAATTAAAAACATGAGGCACATACTGTATACAAATCGAGGTTGTAATTCAGGTTCTACACCGTTATCTG